TAAAAAGGCTATCATGTACAGTTATATTTGCAAGTTTATTTTTCTTGTCAGAAGAAAACTCTTCATATGGCAAGAATTTTTTTCAAGCTGAACTTCCTGATAATATAAATTGATAAATAATAGAAATAACCAACTGGCTTAGAAAGTGATAGTATCTTCTTCACTGAGTTTTTTAAGAGGCCAGAGGGCCATATGACTAGAATGTAGAACTACTGAATTTCCACACTAGCAGGACTAAATGAAAGTCATTCCCAAATTCTATGGATTTCAAAGTGCATTTCACAGATACTCATGTTTTCTGAATGTGAGGTTTCCAAAACTATTGAATTAAATCTACCCTCATGCCCATATTGACCACAGTAATGAAAACTGTAGACTGGAAAATGCCAGATTGGGAAAGTATTTACTGACATTAACAGTATTCTTGTTAGTATGTATATTACAAATCAAATAGTAAATCTAGCTGCTTGCAAAGTACTGCCAATGAAACTTTAAAATGAAATAGCCATTCACAGTGAACCATTTTGTTCCTTGTTATTACCTATGTTATTGTATATTGCTATCTACTTTCAGACTATTTCACCAAAGAACTAGAAAACATTCTGTTATGAAATTGGTTCAACAATTACCTATGCCCAAACCATTTAAAGTCTTATAAATGAACCTCTTATAAGCAAACAAGCAAATGCAGATTAAAGAAACTGAGCATTGTAGAACTTTGGCCTTATAACGTGATTATTAACCAAATAGCAGCACTTTGTATCCACTGAAAACGCCATGTTTTCTAAGGCAATAACCATTATTAGCAGAGTAACAGAGACATAATATTATTAAGGCAGGATCACTGACATCAGGTATCCCAATTAAAGAAAAAAACATTGCTAGCAAACTAGCAATAAGCATCTTAGCACTATGGCCAACAATGATAAAGCTATATCTAGGCACACCCTAGACTACAAAAATGACACGCATAAGGATAGATCATCTGTCCATATTCTGGAATAAGTATCTGTCCAATAAAGTACTTCTATTTTATTTTATTAATCAAATTTATACACTGCCCATCTCACTGTACAAGTGACTCTAGGCAGCTTACAAGTAAAAAAGGGATAAACACAATAAAAATCTGCACAAAAATATACAAAGTTAAAAGGTGGAAAGAGCGTCTTCAAGCCACCAACCACCCCCTGTGCTGCGAACCCCCATGTGATCCCTATGCTAGTTGGCAGAACCAGGTCTTAACACTCTTCCAGAAGGCCAAAAGAGTGGGGGCCAATCTCACCTCAGGCAGCAAGATGTTCCACAGGGCAGGAGCAACAGCAGAAAAGGCTCTCATCCTAGACCCCGCCAGTCAAAATTCTTTCGCCAACAGGGTCTGTAACATGCCCTTCCTGCCAGACTGGGTGGGATGGGTCGATGTGACCAGGACAACACGGTTCCTCAGGTAACCTGGGCCTCATACCATGAAGGGCTTTAAAGGTCATAACCAACAACTTGAATTGGAACCCGAAGCAAACCAGCACTCAATGCAGCTCACGCAGTAGAGGTATTACATGCACAGACCTAGAGGCACCCATGACTGCCAGAATCCATTCTCAGTTTCACAATCAAGTGATGTGCTTATATACCTAGGCTACAATAACTGACACTTACTGAATAGGAAAGCGAAAAGTATAGACTGCCTGCTAACTGCAGAAAAAGTAATTGCACATAACTTTACTACAGATTTGAGAAGGCTAAGAGGGAAAAAAAAGGACTATATGGTAATTTTACAAAACAAATTTGAGAACAAGAACTATTAAGAACAGAACAGTGAATGATACATTTAAGAAAAAAATAATTTCTTTCTACTCCATGAAATATCTGATGCTCTCTAAACATGAACTGCAATACCCATTGCTCCCAATTAACACTAGATTTGTATTTTTCAAACTCAACGTTTCTAGGAATAATGCTGAGGTATGCAACTTTGAACTGATTATTCAATGCAAACAATAGAGTTCATAAATAGTAAAGTAAATAAGAGAGTTCAATTTAAACACCCACCTGTACATACATGAATTTATCTTTAGTACCAAGTAACAGACATGCTTGAAGCCCAATACACTAGAGGTTTTTTTTAAAAAAAGCACGGTAATATGCAATATTGGGTAATGGAACTCATGATATGGAAAAATTTATTGTTTAAAGTTAGGTTCTCAAATGTTTGTGGATTTGATGAATTACTCTGTAAGTGTTATATTATGGACTAAATATTTGATACATCTTTATTTACTTATTTATTCATCCATTTGATTCATTTAAAACATTTATATGGCTGCCCACCTTGAACCAAACTCCGGGTGGCTCACAAATCAAATTATGCACAAATGTCTTGCCTTAATAGTAAAGCTCATTTACACTTAGATGATCCTCTTTAAACATAAACATGTATAAGAAGTCTGTAAATACAATATTCAACACATTGTTTTGATTAAAAAAAGCAGTCTCAACCAGTGTGTGATATGGTATAAATAGATACATAACATAGTCAGAGAGAAATATTTTAAATAAATAAATGATCACGGTATCCACTTGCAAACACATGCCAATTAATATAATTTAAATAAATCAATGGATTTGTAGATTGCTGCATATTTAAATGATCTTTATACATAGTGATATTTAAAATAGGTATACATCTTCCTCTGTTTTGTATACAGGTTACATGCAGCTATCTCTGCTGCAGATAACACAGCACAAGTCAATGGATAAAATATCTTAGTTAAGGAGTACTGTAAAGGCACAATTCCCAGACTAATCTAACATCTTGCATGTTGAAGACCTAATTAAAATGTTAAAATTTGAAGCAGTTTAAGACACTGTACACAGACAAATGAAAATTAAATGAATATAAAATGCAAATATATTTCCACTAAGTACCACATACATTAAACATTGAAAATTAATAAGGTCTCTTATTAATACAAAGCTCTCTATAAAATTAATCTTGCTTCCAGGTAATATGCATAGGAGTATGTGGCAGTGAAAGAAATCATCATGAAATGTAACAAACATCTAACACTATGTTTTTATATAATTTTGGCTATACAAATTTAGCAGAGTCCTTGTTACATAACATAGCATGGAAGTAACAGCAATTTTCTTCTTGGTCTAGTTGCCAAATACTCTAAGTTCAGGAGCTGGCTATATGTGAAAGCATATAATAAAATATATGCAAGATACTTAGAACACAATTCTATATATGTTAATGCAGAATTAAACTCCAGTGATTT